GGGAGAGAGAGAAAAGAAAGGAACGAATCTATGACACAGCTGCCCCTCTAAAGGGTTTCTTCTTTCGAAACCTCAGCACTTACAGCTGACTAGGAAAGCAAGTCAGCTTTGATGAGAACAGTTCTAAATGTGGGACTCCTCAGAAACCATCTGAGAAAATTACTTATTAATTCTTTCTCTGGCAGTTTCTTTTTTGACGAAAGTCAAATAGTTAGGTTGGATTTGTTGTTGTTGCTTTTGTTAATTGTTAAAAACGATTACAGAATCATCCAAATAGAGTCTTAGAAATCAAGCAGGTGGGCCATGAGGTGGCGTCTGAAGGTTACGGCAAATGCCGCCAGGAATCCCAGGGCACTAATGGGAACTCAGCCCCTCTCAGTTCTCAGTACAGTTCCTACAGGAACGCACACCCCAGCCCTGCAGAAGGAACACGTGTTACCAGGAGCAGGAACCACGAGGCAGAGGCCCACGGCTGGGGAGAATGCACAGGACACTGCCCAGCCCGGCGGTGGGGGACGCAGGAGCTCGGTGCCTCTTCCTCCTTCCTTGGCTGACAGTGTCACTGTGACTCCACGTACCAGCATCACAGCTTTTTTGCTAGAGACAGTCGCCAAGTCTCTCCAGAAATTCTATACGAATATTTCTATGTCTGAGCACTTTTCTAAGGCTCTCAAAGGAGGGATGATCTGAGGAATGAAAACCACGCCACAGACGCCCGAAATGGGCAAGGAACGTCTACAAGAAGCATCTCAAGAGTGGCTGGCGTGCTCGAGGGGTGCGGCGACCAGGGCAGTGTAGGAACTACACAGGGAGAATGACTCGGGTCGGAGGCTACAGGAGACGAGGACAGTGGCCGGTGACGGGGCGAGCCGGCAACAGACAGCAAGAATTTAAAAACAGAAACACCAGCTTATGTTGTGCCCAAAATGCAGCCTGAAGAGCATGAAATCAGGGCTGACGGGAGGAACAGGAGAGCAGAAGTGTGTTCACGGGTTTCCGCGCAGCTGGAATCCCACACTCATTCTCGTGCTCTGAGCAGAGCACTTACCGTTGACACCGGGATTCCTGTTTGGACCACGTGTGGCCCGCAAATCCAACAGTAAATGACACGTCTTTCAAAGAGCGGGAAAAGAAGCTTCTAGCTGCTGAACTCTAGGCCAACCATAATAACCACAATGCTTTGGGGTGTCAAACAGGTTGGGGGTGCCTTGTCCAAAATGCCAGGGAACAGAACTTTTTCAAATGTTTAAAGGCTTTGGAATATTTGCATCTACGAAATCACACATTTTGGGGAAGGGACCCAAGTCTAAACATAAAATTCATTTATGTTTTATATACGCTTTATATGCACAGCCTAAGGTGATTTTATAATTTTTAAATGATTTTCTGCATGAAACCAAGTTTGTGTACACAAACTACCAGAAAGCAAAAGTGTCCCTGTCTCACATCAGGGCTTTAAGTTTCAGATCTTAGAGCATTTTGGCTTTTGGCTTTTGGGCCCAGAAGGCTCAGCCCATCTTCAAAACCACTGTCATACTCACCACACCCCCCACACAGCGATCTCTGTGTCTTTTCATGATGTCTGTGAATTAAAAGCAGAGACCTTTTAGCAAAATAGCTTGCTTTTTGCAAAATTCTTAAAATCAAAATGAGGTTTCAGCTTTAACTCACCCAAAAATTCAGCATGTGAGTTTCGACAATGAAGAAACATTGGTAATTTTGTTTGTTCCGCTAGTTCAAACTGTTTTTCAAAATATCTGCATAATTGCAAAAAAAATTTCCTTGTTAAAAGTTGTATTTCAGCATGAGAAAGGTAATTATGTCAAAATCTTTTTTAATTAAAGAAGTTTTATAAGCCGGGCTCGATGGCTCAGCCTGTAATCCCGCGCCTTTGGGAGGCTGAGGTGAGTGGACTGCCTGAGCCCGTGGGTTCGAGAGCCACCTGGGCAACTTGGTGAGACCTCATCTCTACAATAAATCAAAATGAGCTGGGTGTGGTAGTGCGCGCCTGTAGTTCCAGTTACTCGGAAGGCTGAGGGAAAGGATCACCAGAGCCCAGCAGGTTGAGGCTGCGGTGGCCAGGCGGCCAGTGCACTCTAGTCTGGGTGACAGAGTGAGACTCCAACTCAAAAAAAAAAAAAGTTTTATACTCTAGAAATTACAGGACAGAAATTGTGAACTCAGATATTTAAAACACATCATTGGGCTTAGCCAAGGGTTTTTATAACACACAGCTTCTGGAAAGGGACACTTCATTTTCTGGGCTTGCACAATTATTATTATTTTTTCAGTTGAAATCTCACTCTGTCACACAAGTTGGAATGCAGTGGCACCGTCACGGCTCACCACAGCCTCGACCTGCTGGGCTCAGGTGATCCTTCTGCCTCAGCCTTCCAAGTACCTGGCACTACAGGGCACACAGCACTATGCTGACTAAGTTTTTGATTTTTTTGTAGAGATGAGGTCTCGCTGTGTTGCACAGGCTGGTCTCAAACTCCTGAGCTCAAATAATCCTCCCAAGGGGCTGGGGTTATAGGCGTGAACCACTGTTCTTATCTACACAATTATCATCAGAAAATGCACTGCTGTCCCTTGCTACTCGAGCTTGCAGACACCATCAGCAATTAATCCTGATTAATAACAGCTGCAACCCTGAAGCAGCACTTTCCCAGCTCTTGTCTTTAGAGCTCGGAATGGTAGCAGGGAAGGAGCATGGACAAGGCAGGGACGGCGGAAATGAGAGGCAGCTCACTCCAGGGAGAAGCCAAGATGGAGCTTCCCTCTGCACGCTAATCTCTTCCATTTTGCAACCAGTTTTTATGGGTTGCTATAAAAGAAGTTATTGCCACTGAGCAAGAAAAAGAATTTCCTTAAAAGTGAAACCTAAGCTAAACAAGCAGCACAAAAACAGAATTACACTTTTTCATAAATGAAAGTTCATGATAAAGCGGCAGCTAGCTCTGTTTAGAGGCTGTTAGGAGAAAGCTGTTTCCAAGGGCCACATGCCGTGACCCACTTGATCCTCTGGATATTCCCAGACAAAAGCTGGTGTCAAGAGGAGCAGCACCTCGTCCTAGATCACAAGACATGGGACCTCAGAACCAGAAAACCAGTGCTCCAAGTCCAAAGCCAAGGTCAAAGGACTAAAGATGGCTACACTCTGCAGATGCTTCTCCCTGGTCCCAGAGCATCACAACAGCCAGAGGACGCAACAGCTGAAGAGCTCTGCGGTCTTTCTGTTTTCACACCTACTCTCTGTCCTGTCTTCACTCAGAGTCACGTAGGCTTCACTGACAAGGAACAACAGGTGGCTTGTGATTTTCTTAAATGGGCTCACCTCTTCTAGGTCCCTAATTTTTTTTTTTTTTTTTGAGTTGGAGTCTCACTCCGTCGCCCAGACTGGAGTGCAGCGGCCGCTCCCGGCCACCACAGCCTCGACCCGCTGGGCTCCGGCGATCCTTCCACCTCAGCCTTCCAGTAGCTGGAACTACAGGCGCGCGCTACCACGCCCGGCTGATTTTTTGATTTATTGTAGAGATGAGGTCTCGCCGCCCAGGCGGGTCTCGAACCCGTGGGCTCAGGCAATCCCCTCACCTCAGGCTCCCAAAGGCGCGGGATTACAGGTGGTCTGTGTCTTTATTGCCCAATATTTGGGTCCAGAAATCACTCTTACAGATTATGCTGGGCTAGAATAAACAATGTATTTTTAGTTAATAAAGTGTGGAAATCTTACTGCAGCAAAAAAATCAAGGAAAATTTGATGAGAAAAAGACTTTAAGCGTTAACAGCAGTTACTGCTTACCTCTAAAGCACCTCCCTAAAGCAGTGCAAAGTCAGAGATAAGTGTGCTGGGTGACAGCTTTCTGGTGGACCTGGCTTGGGCCGCACTGCAACCTGTGCTGGGCCCCTGCTGGTCACTGGTCTAGACTGAACTGGTGCTTTTTCCACACAATTCCAGGGACAAAGCCACATGAGCACACTACAAGTTCGTAGAATCTAATGGTCACTCTGGAAATGAGGCTCCTGTCACAAGGTAGGCCGAAGTACAGTTTATGAAAAAAACAGAAACTCAAAAAATGTGCCCACAGAATTGTACATCACTTGGGAAAAGAAAGGTCCCTGAGCTCAAGCTAGCTCTGTATCATAAGGAAACCATGTGATTTAAAAAAACCCCAAAATTATTCCTGGCTGGGTGGTAATCCCAGCACTTTGGGAGGCCAAGGTGGGAGAATCACTTGGGCTCAGGAGTTTGAGACCAGCCTAAGGCAACAAAGCAAGACCTTGTTTCTACCAAACAAACAAAACCACAAAAAATTAGCCATGTGTAGCGGCACACAGCCTGGGCAACAGGGTGAGATCCTGACTCAAAGAAAAAAACAAATAACTATTCCTAATAATGCAAATTGAGGAGAACTGGTACAGAGCATCAAATGACTGTTGTCTTTAAAGAAGAAAAACCCACCATAGTAACTAGAAATAACAAGGATTAACAGGAAATAGCAACAGGAATAAGTAACAGGGTATAACTGACATCTATTTAGCGACTTCTCAGCCTGTTTTACTTATGACTTTTTTAAAGTTGATAAAATCACTCGAGTTAGATTTGCTCATCTTAGCAAAGGTGTGATTTGCTTCTGATTATATTACTGTTCCTTACAGGTTAACACGTCTAAAGACAAGAGCTGGGAAAGTGCTGCTTCAGGGTTGCAGCTGTTATTAATCAGGATTAAGCAAATCCAAAAGCCCAGTGTGCTGCCCTGCTGTCCTAAGAGGAGGGGTAGCCCCCCCTGTAGCCTCCGGTGGGAAGGGTGGCCTCAATCTCTCATCTCCAGCGTCCCTATATCTCCACCGGGTTATGTTAAAATCTTGTCTTTCTTTTTTCTTCAAAGACCTACACAGTGTTAACATTTGAAAGCCCCGAGAAAGTGCCCAGAGTAGATTCCTCCGGCTCAGGAGCTCTCAGGAGCCGGAGCTCGGAATGGTAGCAGGGAAGGAGCATGGACAAGGCAGGGACGGCGGAAATGAGGGGCAGGCTCAGAGGTAAACGCGCCGCAACCTACTCGGGCCTTTTCCTTGTCTAAACCCTTTAAAAACTGCTTTGGGCTAAAAGGGTTCGGCTATTACAAAAGAAAAAGTATTAAAAAAAAAAAACCTTTCAAAAGCCCCAACCAAAAAAGATCTCTGGTCTTTTCCTTTCTAATGGTAATATGTCCACTAAGAATAATCTGACAACAGCCATGATGGATTGACTATGGCCCTATAGACTCTACACACTGTATGTTAAGAAATGCAGGCAGCACTACCCCGTCCCAAAGACGAGGACACAGCGAGGCACAAAGGGCAGCTGGAGTCACACCCAGAGGCCTGCGGATCGGAAGGTCACACCTGGAACCCCACGGGACACCGCCCTCCCCCACCACTGATTTTCAGATCCGACATCTCCTGTGCGTGACCTTTTCTGTCTTGCTGCCTAATCCATTACCCAGTTTCAGCTCCTGCTTTTCTCTTCTCATTCGTCTCCCTTTTCTTGACTACATTTTTACTTAAAAGAAACAAAAACAGCCGGGCTCGGTGGCTCTGCCTGTAATCCTGCGCCTTTGGGAGGCTGAGGTGCGTGGACTGCCTGAGCCACCGGGGTCGAGACCCGCCTGGGCAACTTGGCGAGACCTCATCTCCACAATAAATCAAAAATCAGCCGGGCATGGTAGCGCGCGCCTGCAGTTCCAGCTCCTTGGAAGGCGGAGGCAGAAGGATGGCCGGAGCCCAGCAGGTCGAGACTGCGGTGGCCGAGAGCGGCCATTGCACTCCAGTCTGGGCAACAGAGTGAGACTCCAACTCAAAAAAAAAAAAGAAACAAAAACACAGGCTAGGCACAGTGGCTCACGCCTGTCATTCCAGCACTTTGGGAGGCGGAGGCGAGAGGATTGCCTGAGCCCAGGGGTTTGAGACCAGCCTGGGCAACTTGGTGAGACCTCATCACTACAATAAATAAAAAAATTAGCCGGGCGTGGTGGTTCATGCTTGTAGTTCCAGGTATTTGGGAGGCTGAGGTGGAAGGATTGCCTGAGCCCAGCAGGTCGAGGCTGCAGTGGCTGTGAGCATGCCACTGCACTCCAGCCTGGGCAACAGAGTGAGACCACGACTCAAAAAAAAAAAAAAAGACACAAAAACAACAAAACATACGGCCTTGTTTCAGATGGTCTAGAAGCCCAGACCACTATCCACATCCTTCCAAGATAAATCAGACAGCGGAAGCTGAGTGATGGTTTCACGTGGACTGCTCCATAGGAATCTGAAAGAACGCTCTCTGCTGGGTAAGCATTCAGCAGTCACTCCCCGAGGACCTGGGTGCGTGGAGTGTTGCGCCGAGCCGTGGGAGCTACAACGTGGAGACGTGGGGTGCGCCTATGAGTCGCTCAGACGTGGCTTCGGGGGTGGCACGGGGTGACCTAAACACGGCTGCACTGTGTGTTTGGTGCTGGGGCAGGGAGCCGTGTGCACTCAGAGCCCCAGCCTGCAGTCAGTGCACACGAGGGCAGGGAGGAACCAGGCGAGAAGGACCAGCAACCCGAGTGGTGATTACGACCGGTGTGTCTTTCTTTTTTGCCCACTAAATAGCTGGATGTCTTATTGGATGTCTTATTGTTTTTCCTCGAGTCTATCCTTATCGCTATTCTCTGGAAGAGAAAGTCAGTCTTTCCCAACTGCTGTCCCCACACCTTTGCGAGAGCACTTCAGTCTGCATCAATTATGTCCTTTCTTACCCCTCAGGGCATGAGAACCAAGTCTTACCCTTCTTTGTATCATACTGAGCACTGGGTAATCATTTACTGAATGAACTGAGTTTGAACTCCCTTACTGGTGAGCGCTCCACCGGCAGGTGTGTTCAGTCTAAGCTGCTGACATACTGCTCCAAGTTCTGTCTTACTCTGATGACGGCCATGAGTCTTCAGAAGAGTCAAGCTGAACTGATACCATCCGCCTTCCATTTAACGCCAAAGTACTTGAGCGCCGAGTTTCAGGAATTTAGGCCACACTCTGGAGTCAGTGCCTACTCACCCAGGCGAAAAGACAGAGGGGCCCCAAACCACCGGCCCTGCCACGAACCCTGCTCGACACAGTGCATGGTCTGTTAGGCTTAAACTCACCCTGGCTGGAGACAGACACAAAGGTGAGGGACACGACCTGTGGGCTTAACATAAGGAACTACTTAAGATGGACTGGGTTTCTATTTCAGTGTGAACACAAGAACTTCTAAGGTTAAGTGAGCTGACCACGTGACACTCGAGAGAGGTACAGGGCTTTGGAACCTGCTGGGAACCAAGTGCATGTCCCTAAAAATGACACACCAGAAGCTAAACAGTTCTGAAAGGGCTGCAAGAATGAGAGACCACAAAGCAAGAGCATGTGTCCACAGAATGTGACTAACCACGCTGTTCCGCTTGGTGTTGACCCTCACACCCAGAACTCTGGAGCCTGACGGTTAGGCACGACAGACTCCACCATGCTCTGTTCCTCACGAGGGATTTCCCAAGGAGGGTGGACAGGCCAGGATCCTGCTTGTGAGGGTGCAGTACTACACTTCTGGAAGTTCAACCTGAAAAGCTCTTCAGGTCATCAGTCACTGGCCTAATCGTATGATCACGCCACAAAGGACAAAGATGATTAGTTATTAAACATTATGATAGGGCTGGCCAGTATCTTAAGAGAGAACCTAACCCAAATCCTCCTTTGTGTCTACGAAAGTGAGGTGGACAGAGGCTACTTCTTGTCGCTGTATCTGCACACACTGTGAGGTCACAGCTGCCGGCACGGCGCTCCACCAGCACGTGGTGAACGGGCGAGGAACTGGACGACTTCCGCTAGATGCGCAGTCTAAAGCTTCATCACCGTGATCACAAAGATGTTTCTGGGACGCTACGTTTGCTTTTGCTTTGGTTTTGAGTTGGAGTCTCTCTCTGTTGCCCAGGCTGGAGTGCAGTGGCACATTCATGGCCAGCGCAGCCTCGACTTGCTGGGCTCAAGCCACCCTTCCACCCCAGCCTTCCAAATAGCTGGAACTACAGGCACGTACCACCATGCCCAGCTAGTGTTTTGATTTACTGTAGAGACGAGGTCTCACCAAGTTGCCCAGGCTGGTCTCGAACCCGTGGGCTCACGCAATCCTCTCACCTAGGCCTCCCAACGTGCTGAGATTATAGGCATGAGCTACCATGCCTGGCCTGGAATGCTATGTTTTAAATGAAGACTCTGACCTAAGTTTTCTTTTCCAGCTGTAATGCGCGCCCAGGAGCATGACAGCCGCTCAGCTCTACTACAGGGAACCATTGCAGGAAGGCCTGGGGCTGGTGAGCTTCTGAGTTCTCTCAGAAGTCACCTCTTTACAAGGCAGTTATACGATTCTCACAGTTCCACAGTTCCAAACAGCAGCCAATGCCCAGTGAAATACACTTACTTTTCTAGCTCTGGCGATTGACCCTTTAATACAGTTTTTTTTTTTTAATTGACAGAGTCTCACTGTGTTGCCCAGGCTGGTCTTGAACTCCTGGGCTCAAGTGATCCTCCTGCCTCAGTCTCCCAAGTAGCTGGACTACAGGCATGTACCCCTACATTCAGTTTATAATACGCTTTAAAATCCCTTGCTTTGAAATCATATCCTCTAAAAGAAGTTAATCTATCTCACTGGAATTGCTCATGTACAAATGTGTTTGTTAATCAAATAAAAAACAGTATTAAAAGTCTCTATCATGTAAAACTCACCCCTTATTCTACCACTAAAATAAAATTAAATGGTTGACCCATGAGGGAACTATGTGCCTCCCCCTTTGAGCTATATGCAAGTGTGGGTTTCATGACTGTTGACATACAAAGGGAGAGAAAAAACATCCAGTGCTTAATCCAACAACATGCTCAGCGGATACAAAGTTATTTAACGCTCACTCTTAAGATGTTACAGTAACATCTAAAGTCAACAAATCTCCTTACTTGAGCTGAGTGTCTTTGGGGCAAAACTGTAGTCGGTCAAAATCTTTAAAAGATAAAGAAAGAACAATTACTTATTTTACCATTACAACTACAGAAAACAAGTCGGTTACTGTCAGTCACCCTAAGTGGCTCAGCTGGCTCTTACCAAGTCCACACTCCCCAACAGCCACAACTTTGCCCTTGTTGTTTTCAGCAAGATGCAGCAACTCCATTAAGTAAAGTTCAGGGTCATTCTTTTCAAATTCACCACATCTGGTGGGATGACATCCAACCGTACTGAAAAACATATCTAACACAACATCACGTCCCAGGGTTATTCTAAAATATTTTCTCATGTTTATATTTAATATGCAAAAATGAGAGAACACCCAACTATTTCAACTGGCTTTTAACAATAGCCAAACCTTATTCAAATTACCAGAACTGCATTTATGCTAATCATGAGAATTTTTGGAATACTTTCACAAAGTAGGCTATGAATATGAAAAATGCCCTAGCCAGGTGGCATGCACTGACAGTCCTAGCTTTTTGCGAGGCGGAGGCAGGAAGACTGAGCCCAGGCGTCAAGATGAGCCTGGGCAATGTAGTGAGACCCAATTTAAAAAAAAGAAAATTACCTGGATATGTTAATAAAATAATTAACTCAGCTCCTTCGACCACCTGGTATTTATTGAGCGTTGTAGAATAGGAAGTGAAACAGTTTCTTGACCCATCATCATCTAATTGTATCTACCATATTCCCAGTTCATGCGGCTGTCTTGTATTTTTTAACGGTTAAAATGTGTTCCTCTTAGAAAGGTTAACAATGAGGGTGATTTAAGGAGGCAGAAGGGGGATTTGTTTTTCTAATAAAAAGTAAAGCTCACGTATGTGGAGGCCACTTGACAGCCTTCATTGTTGGAACACGAATGAGAAGTCGGAAGGCTCTCTAAGTGGCTTCACTGTGTCTGCACCCACGGGAGGCAGTGCCTTCTTCAGGGCTCATGCCAATGTTTACAAACAAGAAGAGGTCACTTTTCTTTCTTTCTTTCTTTTTTTTTTTTTGAGTTGGAGTCTCACTCTGTTGCCCAGACTGGAGTGCCCACATTTCTAAAGCCTGGGGACACAGGAGACTGGGAGCAGAGTGGCAGAGAGCTGGTCATGGAGGCGGGAGAGTTTTTAAAAGCACAGCAGTTTGGGGATAAAAAAATAAGGACAAAATATTCTTACACCACAGACACTCCTGAAGATGATTTTTATGCCTTTCATCACTAAGAAAAAGTGTCAGTGGATCTTTAAGAGAAGCGTGCATTTTAAACAATCTCCATAAAAATATAGCTTTTAATATGTTCTCATACATAAAGGAAACACAGAATTATGCAGAATGTCTACTCACTCAGTGTCTAGCACATGAGGAATGCAAAAAAAGTCAAACAAACGAATGCCAGATAAATGAGTGTTTTATGGAACTAGGATTCTTCTAACAGTCAATTCCAATACTTGTAAGATTTTATTTTTAAATTTTTATTTGCTTACTTTTGGAGTACGGTCTCATTCTGTTGACCAGACTGGGATGCAGTGGCATGATCACAGTTCACTGCAATCTCGACCTCCTGGACTAAAGCAATCCTCTTGCCTCAGCCTCTCAAAGTGCTGGGATTACAGGCGTGTGCCACAGTGCCCAGCCAAGATTTTAAATGAATGCACAATGTATGAACATAAAGCGAGCACATGAGGAATTATATACAAGGGGGACCCCCAAAAACCCGGAATCATCTTTTGGCGGGTGGGCCTCTTGTATTCCAGGCTTCCCCACCAGATAAGTGTTCTGGGAACCCATCGGCATCAGTGTGCCAGCTAGCGTTGTTGTGAGAGGCTGCATCTGGCTTCAGTGAAATTTTTTTGGAGGCTCTTTCAACGTTTTTCCCCTGGTGGGGAATTTAGGAGCACACCCGCTCACACCGCGCTGAGTGCTCTGAGCGTCCCATCCTCCCTGTGCACCGGATCTCACCCCAAGCAGCCTCTTTCTTTGTTTCCCCGGATGCAAAAAGCCTTCACAGGAAAACCTCTTGCTGATGTGGAAGAGGTGAGACAATAAAAGGCATCACATCTGACAGCTCAAAAACCTTTTGGGGCAGTGGAAAAAGCATATCGATAGGAGCACTGTCTCAAGTGGAGAGGACTCTGAGGGTGACTGAAGTTCAAACGGGTAAGGACAAATACACAATTTTTTATACACAAGCTATTTTTCTTGGAGGGGCCCCCTTGTATCATATTATTTGTTTCCTAGGGTCTTGCACAGTGTCTGGGCTACATGAGAAATCTTTAAGAAAATGATCCATCACGGCTTAAGCCGAAAAAGTTAAGCAACCCATATCTTAAACACACTATAACACACACACACTCTCTACAACAGGAATATTGGAGGTTAAATTATATACCTGGAGAACTTTATTCTCATTAGCTGAAATCTTAAAAATAATCTTTTTAAAGTACTAGGTGAGGGTTTTATCAAACATCTGATATACCGATGAGTACTTTTAATTCTGCCACTGTAATCCTGCCCCACTGAAATCTGTCCATCGGCCTGTTGTTTCTCATCATGATCCATCATATTGTACCCGCAGCAGTTCTCAGAACTTGAAACCACTTAATCCATATTTTTGGGGTAAAAGTAATATGGGGATACCATTTGTTTGTGCCAAATGTAGTGCGTCTTTACTGTCTTGTAGATTTCCACCTGTGATCATAAACTGAAAGAGAAAGAAAGTGAGCTGACTCGAGCGGGCACCAGCGAGCTTCCCGAACACACCTCCTGCCACTCGCTTCCTCCACAGTCTCCTTCCTCGGGGTCTGCCACACAACAACCCTTCCTTTTAAATTCAGCCAGGTGGTCACCTCCCGTGTAGAGTGGCACCTACATGGCTAGCAGATGAAAATTTCGGAGCTTAGCATTTCAGAGTTTGCAGAAAAGCACTGCATAACGTGACTGACCAAGCAGCAAATGACTGCATAACAGGCATGATTGTAACTTTTCTCCTTTCACATTACTGTGAATAATGACTAATATAAGCTCAGAGCTGGAGACTGCAGAACTCAGTCAGTCAGCAGTGTCACTTTTAAGAACTGAGTGGCTCAGCCTGTAATCCCGTGCCTTTGGGAGGCTGAGGTGAGTGGATTGCCTGACCCCGCGGGTTCGAGACCCGCCTGGGTGGCAAGACCTCATCTCTATAATAAATCAAAACATCAGCCGGGCATGGTAGCGCATGCCTGTAATTCCGGCTACTTGGAAGGCTGAGGCGGAAGGATC